TTTTTTTTTTTTTTTTTTTTTTTTCTTTACCCTCCTTTCCTTAGCGCTCTTCTACTCTAATTTCTTGAACCGTGGTTAAGTGATTGCGTGAACCATAAAGGAACAGCCGATGAAACTACCACGGTATTGATCATAAGAATAGGATGTTTTTCGATTTTTGGTTAATTTCACTAAAATTGTACAATAAATCATGTGCGGCGTTACCACTCGTGAGTGTTGCACGTTGCGTGAATCTAGGCATGTTCTAAAAATGAGTCTAAAGATTTTCGAAATTTCTTTTGTAGTAATGAAACACGATAGTTCAGCAAGCATATTTATGGGCAAGATAAGAAATTTGTTGGCGGGTTTGTAAGAAGAGACGACCAAGCGTATGTGGGGGTAGTGAAACGGTTGCTCGAAGAAAGAGGGTAGTGGAGCACAAAGAAAGGGGATGATAGGCTCCTTACCGAAGGGACTCGGAGAAGCGGGAGACCTCGAGACCCCGGCTACATGGTACGGTAGTTCAGTCGACGTGCGACGAAAGAGACCAGCGCATTTTCACATTCACTCTGAAATCAGTCGGAAGTACCTGTACCGGCACAGCACGTGCCTACTTTCGTTTAAAATCCTATTGAAATTTCACATGATGCTACGAATTACAAAGATCTAATTATCTCAGTCAATGAATCTTCATGAGTGATGATCCCCAGTTTTTTCTTCTGTTTTCTGGATTAATTCACATATCCATAATCGTCTGGCGGTGTATAGTGAATCCTTTTCGAATCGCGAAGTGAGCACGAGTAAACAAAGATCGAAATTGTGAGATAAAAATGATGAAGTGTATGAAAAATGCAAACACGAGAAGAAATGGGAAAAAATGATCGACGTGCCAGGTGTAAATTTTTCGAACGAATAGAAGAATTGAAGTAGCGAAGAGAAGGAAGATTGGTAGTCTATACGGTATGTAATCTATTAGGTCCTCTCCTGTCGGTGAACGGTAGAGACAAAGGACCGACTCTAGGTGCCAGATCCTAGACGGTATATGGGCAGGTGGTTGCGCGTGACTCGGCGAGTGGGCTGAGTGAGGCACTTGTGACGGCCGACAGAGACCAGAAGGAAGATGCGAGTTGAAAGAGAAAAGAGAGTGGGAGAAAGGAAGAGACGAGAGACGAGACTGCTCTCAGGGTAAGCGCTCTTCGCAGACTGGCAAAGTTACTCGTTAGTCTCGTGTCAGCCTAAATAAAATGTTTACCGTTTATCTCTTACCGTAGCACTCAAAACAACGGGCGCTTCCCTTTGGCCCTTTACGGATTCCTTTGCATCATTAGAGAGAAACTTATTTGAATTTCTGTAATGACGAAGCCGCCGCCGCGTTTCCGCGTCTCCTGACTCTAATGCTCGAAACTCTCGAGAGAGCACTCGTAATGCTCGCTCGCCCTCCTACTCGTTTACATCCACTTTCGTTAAATCCCTCATAGTCCTCCTGCTGCTTGTGCACCCACCGGTGTCCCAGCAATTTTGCGTTTTCTTTTTCTTGGCTATCGCAGATCGCACGTACATCCCAAGTTTTGACCAGGAAGTTCTCGCAGATCATCAGGTTACTCGAGTCCCTGGAGAAATATAATATCCTGTGTAAATTTAGTTACAACCGATACGATCTATAAGGTTTGTCAAAAGTGACTGAGGAACAGCAGCTCTTCCAAACAATATATTATCCTGTCAGATACAGAGTAGGGCCATCGTTAGTTTACGCTTTCAAAAGATAAATTTTTTCTCTTTGATATTAGCATTCCTATTATCTCTTACCTGGACCTTTCAATAGCTAAACCTCATGCGATCGGACGTTCAAAAAAACATTACATTGTTTCATTACATTATTCGTTCAATAAAGTAACTGACATTGTTTTCAAGTCACACTCGTTTCAACAGACTCCTTAATTATAATGTATATTTCCTTGTTATCGCCTACTTCATCCAGTACTCGTGTACCTCTTGCTTAGCTAGAGCCCTTTTCAATCCAGCGAGCTTCTCACGGTCACGACACAATGTTAACAAATTGTCCTCTTCTCCGTTACAATGGGTCGAGCTGATCTGGACCCATTGGCCAGTTACGCTACGATACGCCACGCCACGCATTGAGGCGTGGGTCGCGAGGATGACACCAGCTGTCGCACACGGGCGAACGAATCCATAGAATGGCTCTGAGAACAATACGTCACCCTGTCCTTGAAGAATCTTCGAATCGTTCAACTAAGAAAAAAGAATTAAAAAGAATTAGAAGAAGAAAAGTTATCTAGGATCGATGCACGAATTACATTTGACAATTATTGCACACTCTTGCTTCACTCAATATGCAATTTTGCTTAATTGTAATTGTTATGCAGGATATCATTGAGGCTCTGCGTTTCCATTGAATTGATTTAATCATTTGAATTAGTCTTTTTAATTGTTTAAATATATTTGAACGTATATTTTAGCGGTTAGTGTGTATTATCGTTGTAACGTTGCTACAGGCCCGCAGACACGCTACTGTTCTCGATACATGTCTACATAACGTACCTGTGCGTAGGCGTTGCAGCTTGTCAGATAGCACATCGCTGCTCGATACGGGATTTTTTGGCAGGACAATGTAAAAACTGATAATCAGATATCGAAGCTGATACAGATTCTCCAAAATGAAAAGGTAGCTCTGTCACGTCGTCAGCTATTCGTGAACTGCCTGGACAAAGCAAAATTGTCAAAAGATCATTGCGTTCCTTGGTCTTGTGTCTGAACACGAGAGGAGTTCATTTAAGCACGGTCGTATGGTGTTTTGGTTTCACTGTGTAGAGGAAAAGTAGAAAAGTGATCCGAGTGCGAACTCGTTGTGAAAATAGTGAAATCAGCCGTTTAAACTCTGCGGTAGGAAGCAAGATTGGCAGAACTATTTGAACGTTTTCAAGGAAAACGACGGGTAGACGAAGCTTGGGATATCTTGGTGCGATAACCGAAATTTCGCTCCGAAGCCCCGGAAGAAGAGTTGGTTCGAGTGAGCTTGAGCGGGGAAGAACAGGCCAATAAAACAACTGAGCTATAAATCGCATAGGTCGTGCGGACGTCGCCAAGCGGGCAATAAGGGGCGCCCCATAGTTGCCTTACTGGTGGTAGTCTGGTTCTCTAGTTGCCTGGTTCTCTAGTTGCCTGGTTCTCTAGTTGCCTGGTTGCCTAGATCGCTAACCCATCCTTTTGAAGGACAGGAAGGGTTACTTTTACGGAGCTTCTAGTGCAGCAGAGCCTTGCTCGATCAGTTGCTTAAGCGGATAGTTGGACTAGCCTCGAGCATGGCTAATGCATTGCACTTTGGTCTAACCAATGCCCAGCCAACATTCTCTCTCTCTCTCTCTCTCTCTCTCTCTCTCTCTCTCTCTCTCTCTCTCTCCCCGTGCATAACAGTCATTTATGAAGGAGATATTGGATTCGGGGTTAGAAACGGAACAACGACCAACCCCTATTCATACTAGACCGCAACCGCTCTCTTCTATTGTTTCATGCTATAGCACCGTTTCACCCTTTGCTCTTAAAGCCGCACCAACACTCGTTTGGTACCTCCAATTTCTCCGTTTGCCGTTTTCTTCAAAATCTATAGCGTTGGCAAAAATCTAAGTGGAAAAAGACTCGTAGTCGTTTGTTTTCGTTAATACAGAGAAAACGGCGTTGTGCGATAAAACGTTTTCTCGATTTTGAAGAAGATAAATAATATCTCCGCACATCGCGATGCTCCAGCGCCTCCGTCAATGGACTTGAAAAATATCGAGTAACTACGAGATTCGCGTGATGGCCGAAGGGGGTTTTGCTATCCACAAGAACGTAGGTAAAAGCAATCTTCGGCACTTTGCTTGCAAGAATGACTTCCCTCTCTGCATTTGACTGCGGGATGCACAGTGACATTTTGAACGAGAGTACCCAGGAACATCCTTCTCCTTCATCTTCTTCTTCTTCTTCTTCTTCCTGAGAGAGTGAGTGAGAGGAATCCAGTATGACATATTTTAAAGGAAGCTCTTGCCGAAGGCGAACGAGTCGATCGCTTCCTAGTCGTTTTGCTGCCGTCAACTTATTCACAGTCGTGACGTGTGCACTCGGTATCGTTCTTAGGGATTCTTATATTGGTCATACATCCCCCGTTTTGATAATAACCCTCGCCGGTACTTCCTCGTTGAAAATTATCTGAAGGACAAGCTTGGTAATATAATCCACAATGTTTCGGAGTACGTAGTTACGCAGTCTCCCGTTTAAGGTAGATTCATTGAAATTGCGGCAATGTGACAGGTTAACGTTGTGAATGAAATTAAATGTCGATTATGTGCTGGCAGTGAAAGAATCAAGTGAAACAGGAAGGAAAGTTAGCAGAGTCCACCTTCTACCTATTACCTCCAACCTTTGGCACGTCCACCTTATATAGTCGTTCTATCGACTGATGGCTAAAATGCACGAACTTTAAATTATTAAGAAAAGCCAAGAACGTGAAGGGAAATTTCACGACCATAGAAACTTTAGTCGGTGTCGTATTCTGTAACATCAGTGAGAACGTAGAGAAATGACCGAAAGATTATTTTTACGCTAATCTGGCGTGAAGTGCTTTTGGTGAACCATGCTCTACGTCTACGATGTTCCTGGTGAGCTCATTCCTATATAAAACAGTCACGTCTGCCAGTTCGTGGTCGCATGCGCGCACGGTTGAGCACCGGTACAAATTACATTGCAGTTACATTCGCATAAACATTTTTAATCCAACGTCAGCCGCAGCTTCTGCAACGCGGAATAAAGTACACTCGTTAGTAAGCATTGCGCCCGCTAACGTTGGAAAGATTATCGAACCTGGGATGGGCTTTCCATTCCGGATTCTTGGTACATTTTAACGTGTCGTCGTGAGCCAAAGTATGTCAAGTTGACAATGGTTATCCAGCGACAATAGGACGAGGAGAGAAAAAGCAAAGTAGAGATATTGAAATTGTTTTTCGTGTAACGCGCACGATGAGTTACGAGCTATGGCTTGATTATCATCGTAAATAACAATGGCGCTCTATTGACGCTTGCCCGATGTTGCGAATGATGTATGTGTTGAGGGATGCGATGCACAGAGAAGTGGGAGGTCGAACAAAAGCAGCAGCAGCAGCAGCACCGACAGTCCGAGCAGCTATTCATCATTCGATCAAAACCAAAGTGCCGAGCATCAGTGAGATGAAACGAAAAATTATAAGGCTCATCTGCGCGTTTCTCTGATCCCTTGTCAATTAGTGTCGCGTGCTGCGCGTGCTGCACGTGTAGCGCAATTACCGCGTGCAGCGTATGACCATGCGCTGCCGCGGTCTAGGACTATCGAATTACCATAGACGGGCAAGCGTAGGTAACGTCGAGACACGGCTAGAACTTCTGGCTGGTAATAACCAGCTCGGCTGTCTCGCAGACTTCCTTCCGCAAGAAGACATACATTTCCAAGTCGAGGTTATCCTGACTGTTATATGACATTCCTGAGATACGTTATTACGACGTTAGAAACATACTCTGATCCGGACTCTCTCAGGGCTGAAATAATACTTCGGCATCGTCGCTAATGACTTCCTTCCTTAAACGGAAACGAAAACTCTCACTGGTATCCGAGTAACTTTCTCAGCTTGCTATTCCTCCTTTACTCGTAATACGTGACACAGATGCTACGAGACGAGTCGGTTGTCTTGCGTGGACGTATTCTGCACCCCGTTGGATCAATATGCAGCTCTGCGCTCTGAAAGCGACGGCGACCCAATTGAAATCCCATTCAAAGAGTACAAGATGATAATGCTCTGCTCACAGTCGAGGCTTTAGTGTAATCCGTTGGTCGGCTTAGCCTCTGTAAGACAAGGATTATTGTGGCTTGTGCAACTAGTCTCTTGTTTTTTCTTTACTCTTTGTCCAGGAATGTCCTAAAATTGCTCTCTGACAGCTTCTCTGCCGCTGACTCTCTCATTGATCTCTTTTGCCGGATTGTCTTTCATAATGGAACAGGGAATTTGTCAAGCTGCGTTTATCGCCATCGCACCAAGTCCTCGAGTAAAGGGAAGCATCGAGTTTTATTTTACATGGACATTGACGATTCTACGTCGACTAACGTCGATTAATGAACGGAGTTAAGGATAAGAATGTTTTTCAGGCATTCACTGGATGAGGATCCATAGACACGCTGAGAGACGTCTTGTATCGTAGGCATATATACGTATAATATTTTCCCTCGAAAGATGGCAGCCCTCCGTGGACGTTTGTCATATCTGTCACATTGGAGATTTATGTTGCTCGGCGATCGTATATAGAGGAGGAAACGTGATGCGGTTTAGGTTGTATATTCGTAAATCATGATTCTTCGGGTTGATAAGACTCAGATTTATTGCGGCTCTACCCGCGTAACAGATGTCGCTCTTACTCTCTTAATAATTCCTCTTAGCAACCTAACAGTCGCTAATTATTTTTCTCCATCGGATCTACGCGTACGTCGATTCATGAAAATGCGCCGGATCGTTCTTGCCATGAGTTTGTTAAAACTTCAACACTGTTTTCACTTATACTTTCTTATATGTAAGTGGAAGCTCTGACGTTACTTTTGTTCGTTACGCGGCAACGGCGGGTGGGCCCCATAACATTCTAAAGAGTATTTTATTTGTCTGCGCCATAGACTGCTGCGCCCTGGTAGCAGCAGTGAGCTCGAAACTGCCTGTTATGTCGTACAGGCAGCTATTAGCCGTAATAAAAATGCCTGGCTACAGGACCATCTGCTCTCAAGACTCTCGGATACTTCATAAAATTTGGGAAATTTCAGAAAGTTTCCAGGTGCGACGCGATCCAGTCTTTATGTCGCAACTTCTTGATACTGCGTTTGACACTGCGACAGAAAGTAGGACATTTGCCGAGGGACTTGCGATAGAAGTTTGACATTTCGCGTGGCTACGGTGACCAATAGGACAGAAGTAATAGGTGAAACCTATTCCTGTTCCGATACCGATTCCGATCCCAATCCCCGATTACCGAGAGAAAGAACAAAGCAAACTTATTCAGCGTAATGCGAAAACTTTGAAAGGTGGAAAAGTGTTCCGGATTTTTCAACGATCGATGCCAACTTTCTTCGATGACTGCGTTTATCAAGCTAGGCTTGCGCGATCGACGGATAAAGGAGAATTGCGAGCTATAAGAAAAAGAATCCGTCTCAGCTCTTAACTTTTTCACCTGTGAACGCCACAAGAGTATAACCTACTGGCTCTACTCTATTTCGCTGAACTACGCCATAATACCCGACTGTACTTCGCACTCAGACTCTCGAAATTTCAACGATATCTGCGGAAGTAGAATCGCCGAACGTTAACGCGTCTAGGAGTGTTCCACGGTATATTATAGACTGCCGGTGCGATGTAAAGAAAAAAGAAAAGGGATAAAAAAAATGTCTCGTCTCCGTCTTGGAAAGTAATCAGACTCCATCTTCTGAGTTATCCCGCATGGTTGACTGTGCGAGGGGCAGCGCGCTGTGGGCTGAATTATTTGCTTCCAAAAGATAAAGCTGGAATCATAAGCTAGTCTCGAGATCGGTCGCGATCGTAAATGAATTCGCCAGTTTCCGATACATCGCGAAGCCTCAATTTTCTAGTTTGTTCATTTCCGTAGTGCCTTCGTGTTTCGGGCAACTTTCGAGAGATTTATTCGCTGAACGGAAGGAACAAA